TGGGTCAGGAGCAGCTCCAAAGGTCGCTGCATGTCCTCCCTCTCAGCTGTGGTGGCCACCTTTGTGCACACTCTGAGTCCTTGGTGATGTGGTTTCCTTTGGCTCTGCTCAAGATCCCAGCCAGGAATTTGTGCATGGATTGGGTGGCTCAGCTGGTAAATTCATGAGTTCATTGTTTGTAGCAATATTAGCAGCAGCATCCAGCTAATTTGGAGGGAGGTGGAGTGTTATCTTGTCTTATCCCTTTCCACAGTTCTTAATTATATATCTAATATATTTTGTATTTATCTGTGTCTGTGCTTAGTAAATTCATTGGTGTTACTACAAATCATCTCAAATCAGTAAATTAACTCTCAAAATTGACCACTTCAGAGTATTTCTAGTTATGGAAGGCCCAGTTGTGGCTGCCCCATCCCTGGAAGTGTCCAAGGCCAGGTTGGACAGGACTTGGAGCAACCTGGGCTAGTGGAAGGTGTCCCTGCCCATGGCAGGGGGTGGCACTGGATCATCTTTAAGGTCCCTTCCCACCCAAACCGTTGTGATTCCCACCCAAACAAAAAATCATAATGGTTTGGGTGGGAAAGGACCTAAAAATTCTCCCCCTGGGAAGTGACATTTCGGACCAAAGTGGGACAAATGGAGAGAAGAAAGTTCATTAAAGTGGATTAATTTCAAATTTTACCGAGAAATACAAGAGGAATGCCAGTCCTTGTCATGTTCAATGGAGGTGGAACAGAGTGAAACTTTATTCCTTGCAGGAAATCTGAAGCAAAACAAGACCAGAACTCTAAAAAGTAGGTTATCATTAAAAAGAACAAATTCATGAATTATACAAGTAAAAGAATATGTATATTTTTAGCACATAGAAATGCCAATATGATCAGCTACCAGCTTCTGCAAAGTCTTGCTTGAATTGAAGATTTTTTTTTTTTTAGCTGTTGGACTGGATTTTAATTGCAGGAACTGTATGAGCAGCATTAGAGTGGTTTTATTGAGGAATTTTATCCTGATTTCTGTGATTGAAAAGCGCTATCAGTGCAAAGTAGATTTTTTTTGTGTGTGTCCAGGCAATTTTTTCATGTAATTAGGAAGATTTTTGTGACTTCAGTATTTCTTCAGTGGCAGTTTTGGCTCATCCACACTCCCTCCTTCCTTTTCTTCCACTGCCCACTCCACCAGAAATCACAGAGGCCAGAGAACCCTATTTCAGTTAAGAGGGAATCAAAATTCTATTTAATATATTAAAAACTGATGCCAAAAATAATATATGCAAAAAAAGTTCCTAAACTACTCCAAGTTTTGACTTTTTTTAAGATTAATCTCCTCATGACATATTTGAATCCCAAACCGAAAAATACTCATTTTTTCCTGAGCCGGCGTTAGAAATTTTGAAGCGGTGTCACGCAAGAATCCAACTTATTTTATGTATTGCTACCCTGCAGGGTTATCTCCATAAATTTACCTTCCTAAATCCAAATGACTGAAAACCTGGCCTCTTTTATTTCCTGCCTCTGGCTGTGTGCAGGTGTAATTAAAGTGATTTTGATGTCTCTTTGCCTCATGGAACGTCGGGGTTTGTTCTGAGGGATCTCAGGAGCTGTCTGTGCATCTGAGGGTAATAAATAAGGCCTTGGGTTGAAGTTACAGTCACATCAGGCTTTTAGTTCATGATTAATTTCTTCATTTCTTCTAAATGTTGCTCAAAGAGTTTGTAATTAAAGTGATTTTGGTGTCTCTTTGCCTCACGGAATGTCAGGGTTTATTCTGAGGGCTCTCAGGAGCTGTCTGAGCGTTTGAGGGTAATAAATAAGGCCTTGGGTTGAAGTTACAGTCACATCAGGCCTTTAGTTCATGATTAATTTCTTCATTTCTTCTAAATGTTGCTGAAAGAGCTTATAATAAAGCGATTTTTAAGTCTCTTTGCCTCATGGAATGTGAGGGTTTGTTCTGAGGAATCTCAGGAGCTGTCTGTGCATCTGAGGGTAATAAATAAGGCCTTGGGTTGAAGTTACAGTCACATCAGGCCTTTAGTTCATGATTAATCTCTTGATTTCATCTAAATGTTCCTGAAAGAGCTTGTAATTAAAGTGATTTTGGTGTCTCTTTGCCTCATGGAACATCCGGGTTTGCTCTGAGGGCTCTCAGGAGCTGTCTGAGCGTTTGAGGGTAATAAATAAGGCCTTAGGTGGAAGTTACAGTCACATCAGGCCTTTAGTTAATGATTAATCTCTTGATTTCGTCTAAATGTTGCTGGAAGAGCTTGTAATTAAAGTGATTTTGGTGTCTCTTTGCCTCATGGAACGTCCGGGTTTGCTCTGAGGGATCTCAGGAGCTGTCTGAGTGTCTGAGGGTAATAAATAAGGCCTTGGGTTGAAGTTACAGTCACATCAGGCTTTTAGTTCATGATTAATCTCTTGATTTCATCTAAATGTTGCTGAAAGAGCTGGAGTGAGCAAGAGCAGCAGCACTGAGAGGAGGATTTATAGCGTCAAGTCTTGCTTTTCTGAGTCGGAGGAAATTCTGACCCTTTCCAGTTTCTCTGGAGCTCCTGGTCCATGGAGTTGAGACTCCTCAGGTTGGGTTTACTTGCTGTGAGCAGAAGATTTGCATGGGTTTGTCTTGAAGGTCCTTTTGTCTTGTCACCCTCTCGACTTCAATGTGATTTTGCTTTTCAGTTTTGGGATTCTGGAGTCGTGGATTCACAGAATCCTTAAGGTTGGAAAAGACCTCGGAGATCACGGAGTCCAACCTTTAACCGGCGCTGTCGCCCTCACACCTAAGCCATGTCCCCAAGTGCCACACCCACAGGGATTTTAAACCCCTCCAGGGATGGGGACTCCACCCCTGCCCTGGGCAGCCTGTGACAACCCTTTCCATGAAGAAATTTTCCCTAATATCCAATCTAAAATTCGTCCTGGCACAACTTGAGGCCACTTCCTCTCGTCCTGTCGTGGCTTGTCTGGGAAGTATTTACTGAGTTCACTGAACACAAAGAGACAACTTCTGAACATCTCCAGCCAGACATGGACCAGTCACCAAGAGCAGCAAATTCCCCTCAGATATTAGGATCATGGAATCATTAAGGTTGGAAAAGGCCTCTGAGGTCATCGAGACTGAGCGTTAACCCGGCCCTGCAAAGCCCAAACCCGTGTCCCCAAGTGCCACATCCACACCTTGTCTGAACACTTCCAGGGATGGGGATTCCACCACGGCCTGGTTAGCCCCTTCCAATGCCTGACCACCCTTTCCATGAGGAAATTTTCCCTAATATCCAATTTGACCCTCCCCTGGCACAGCTTGAGGCCGTTCCCTCTCCTCCTGTCCCTTGTTCCCTGGGAGCAGAGCCCGAACCCCCCCGGCTCCCCCCTCCTGGCAGGGACTTGCAGAGCCAGAAGGTCCCCCCTGATCCCTCTTTTCTCCAGGCTGAGCCCCCCAGCTCCCTCAGGAATTCTCCAGCCCCTTCCCAGCTCCCTTCCCTTCCCTGCACACGCTCCAGCCCCTCCGTGTCCTGACTTGAGGGCCCCCAAACTGGACACCACATTCCAGGTGTGACTTCCCCAGTGCCCTCTGCCCTGTGCCCACACTGGGGCTGCCACACGAATCCATGTTTTCCTTACCTACCAGGCAGGACTTCTTTGCAGAGATATCTCCTTTTTCCACCCTTTTTTATATATTATTTTTGCTTCCAAGATGCGAATTTCCAGCTGAACGAACACCAGTTGGTTGCTTGACAGTGAAGCAATAACAGCTTGAGGCCTTGCAGCGGGGGAGCTTTATTTATTAGGTGTTATTAATAAGAAGGAACTAAAGAAAGGAAAAACTGAATGTGTCATAAATACATCATATTTATGCATTTAAATCCCACACCCTGTCTTTTCACCTGGATGTTCTCACACCTCGTAAAAAATCGCTGTTAAACAACCTCCTAAAATAACCTAAATAACCTGCTTTTCACATTAAATCAGAGCAATGAGAAATGCTGAGGGTCTTGATAAGCTTCCACCCCAGGCCTTTTTTCTGTTAAGGAGAATTCCTAGCTAACCTTGCTGTCCTAAAATTCCTTCTTTAAAAGCACCAAACCTACCCTGTGAAAAAAACCCCACGCTTTCTCATCACTTATTAAGGCCTCCTAAATTTAGACAACGCTCTAAATCCGTCCTTTTCTGTGATGTGAGAGCTAACAGCTCTTTGATTATTTCTAAAAAAAAAAAAAAATAACTAATGCTTTCTTCACCTATATTTATAACCTCTGAGCTTAGCTTCTTCTGGTGTCTTTAACTGTCTGGGAATTGAAGGGGAGCGATAAAATTAAGATTAAAAGGTGCCTTTTCTAAGTTTGGCAAGGAAAGAAATCACTTGAGACGCTCCCAAAATATCCCTTGGGCTGGTTTTAGTAGTTGTCATTCAAATTGCCAAAAAAAAAAAAAAAAAAGGTGTTTCTTTGAAATTTTACCGTGGACGGAAAAATTCGAATTTCACAGAATCCCAGGATATGGAGAAGGTCGGAATGTGCTGAAGGGGAACTGAGGGAGCTCCTGAGAGGAAATAAATTGCAGGGAGGCAAAACCCAGAAGTCAAACAAGTGGGAAGTTGTAAAGGTCCTGCCCTTGGCATATGGGAACAAATCCGCCTTTCCAGATTTATCCTGGAAATAAAACACCCCACTGGGGGGTTTTCACTTCAGCAGTGTTTTCATTTGACACGGTGGAAAAACAACTGTGAGGAGATGGGAAAAAAAAACCTGCTAATCTGGTTTTTTGGGGGTTTTTTTTTGGTGCATTTGCAAAATTCCTTAATCCTTTTGCAAGGCAAATAGGAGAAAAAAAATTGGAAGAAATCAGCTTAATGCTATTGAGTAGAAACCTCTGAAATATTGGTGAGAAACCCCCTCATGTTTCTGAAATGTTCTAATACAACCTATAGTGATATTTTCTTTTTTTTTTTTTTAGTATTGAGGCGGTTTTCTCTTTTTTTCGTGGTTTCCCTCTAATTTTATGCTTTCACCACCTGAAATGGGAGAAAGAGTAAACTAAAAAAACTGAAAAAAAAAAAAAAAAAGCCATCAAGGGCTAAGAACATGAATGGATTGTCCTCCAGGAATTGTGGGTTTCCAAGACCAGGGACTGTGAAATAATCTGATTAAAGCTGAAAAAAACTTCCAAAATGACCAAATCCAAGCCCTGATTTCTGGCATTATTTCCCCAATCTGGCAGCTTTTATTTAAGCTCGTGGTGGGAACAGCACCATTTCTTCCTCAGCTCCTTAATCCTTCTTTTCCCTGCTCTTCTCCTTAAAATTAACCCACCATAACCTGGTTTTTTCCCATACCCAGTTCCCAGGGGATTTTTGGAGGCTGGACTCATAAAATTAGGGATTCTTTTTTTTGCCTTAATTTCTCCCTGTTTAACCTTAATTTCTCACTGCCCTGCAGGGCAATATATCTTAATTAATATATCTTGAATCTGTGTTTTAAAGCACTACAGGCACTGATCAGTCCTTTAGGTCCCAATTTTTACTCAGCTCATTCTACTTATTTTCTATTTAGTGCTCCCAGAATCCTTTTATCTCATTCTTTCTTTTTTATTTCTTCTTTTTTTTTTCTTTTTTTTGAAATTTTAAGCTTCCTATTTTTCCATTTCTTTTCCATTTTAAACTGACTGGGAAATTGGACTAAAGGGAAAAATGTCAGGTCAGGATGAAACGGCTGCTTCACCTGGAATAGTCCTCTGGTTATTTTTTAATTAATTTAATTAATTAATTAATTTAATTAATTTCTTTTTTTTTTTTTTTTAATTAGTCCTCCCTGGCTTCCAGGGAAAGACTAAAGACACATTATCCAAATTAATTTAAAGGATGAAGGAGAGGTGGGTTCACCTCACGAGCTCCACTTATCCCACTTATTTTTGACATTATTCTCACTGAGTGCTTTGACAAAAACCCTTAATTAAATTAAAATTCCCTATGGCACTTGGACTAGAAAATCCTGGGTACCTGCATTCCCTTTGCACTTGTCAAGTGGAATGTTCTCCCACAGTTTTCCTGGTTTTCTGCTCTTTCAGGAATGATAATTACCTGTTTTCGTGGAAGTGCCACCTTGTTTTATCCCATTATTCATGGGAAAAATAATGGGAATATCCCATTATTCTTCTTATTGTGTGGATTTATTAAACCACCAGTGAGCCACTGACTTTCTTCACCTCTTGAATCGTGGGATTATCACAAAAACACCTGGAAAAAAAACGACAGGATGAAATTCCTTTGGGAAAGGGCAGGGCGGATAATCCTTGGAACTCCTTCCCGGATCCATAAATCTCCAACCTGCTTTCCCTCACCCAGACCAGAAACATCACCGAATGTCTTCAGCATTGCCAGAGAAATCCACTATTAAGGGCCTTTTCCTTAATTTTTGTGGAATAAACTGGAATAGTCCATGGATGGGAATGGGAAACCTTTATGGGAACAAGGTTGTTCTCACCAGCAGGGCCTCAGATCATCCGGATTTTTGGCTTTGAGGAGCTTTTTGGGCAGGAGCCACAACAGGTCAGAGGTGCTTTGGGTGCTACTCAAGGGTTGTCCCGTCACAAAGACGCTTTTTTTCCGAGGAAATTCCTATTTTTTTTCCTCACCGAGAGGGGAATGATTTCCCCGCAGTGCCGAGCCACGGAGTGAGAAACGAGGAGCTGGAATTCTGATCTCAGAGCTGGAGATCATCTGGATGATTGATGGAGGAATTCAATCAGGAGATGAAAATTGAGGAATGTGCTCGTGGCGGTGGCTGGAAACTGGGAGAGGGTTGTGGGAAGGTTTCGTGTGGAGCGAAGCGCTGGGATGAATTTCTCCCTCTTGGCCCAGTTGTGTGGCTGCTGCCACATCGGTGATGCTGCAGCTGCTTTTTTCTTGCCCTTTTTAAAGCCAGGAATC